ATTTTGTGGGTGAGGTTGGGCTGGAAGCTAGCTCTAGACAGCTATTTAGCAGACCACCTGGTCCACTACAAGCTCTCTGGTTAGCGTAATTTCTCCCAGCAAGACCAAGACAGTGTTTGAAGTATTACATTCATAACTCTGGAGCAAGTATCCTTGAAGGCAGAGACAAAACAGGCAAAAAAACAAAAACAAAAAAAACATCAGACGTCAAGGTCCACTTCTAAGTTTGGATGGGAACTAGTAAAGCTGTTAACCAAGGACCAAGCTGGAAATCAGCAGGCTCACCTTCCTCCCACCCCCAATGTGTCTCATAGTCACGCCAGCAACTCATTATTATGGCTTGTGTGGGTCTGCAAATGTGAGTCAATCTGTGTCACTGAACCCCTTCCAGATGAAGAAGTCCTTTTGGGAGGGACTCATCTTGCAATGGCGCTGCCATGCGCTTATGAGTCATGCAGCCTCAAGGGATGTGTAGTCGTACTATCCTGACAAAGAATAAATTTTACAAGGTATTTGGAAAGTTTATGTTGTCTGAAGTGGAAGAAATGGTCTAAAATAGGGGTTCTGGGTGCCCCAGGAACAGCAAAGGAAAATGGGTGAGAATGTATTTTCTGTATTCTTCCTACATTTCTAAAGCCCAACCATGTAGCATAAAACAGCAGCATTTCAGCTCTTAGCCAGGCATTTTTCAACAATGTGCTTTTCCAATGATTAGGTCTATGAACCACTCTAGTACTCAGTGGACAGAATGGAAAGAAAAATGAAGATATTTTTCCTCTTTTGTTAAGTTTAAGAGAGTAGGTACTGACAGTAGGTTACTGTAATTTGGAAATAATTTTGTCATTTTCTAGGATTTGGGATGTGGGTTCAAATACACCATTCCCTCTCCTAAGGTCCGAAATCCATGGATGTTAAGTCAGATCACAGATTGAAATGTTGGCATCATTTAATAACTATGGGGCTTTAAAGATATTTAATCTCTCTGAAACCCTTTGAAACAGCAATTACCACTTCCATACATATGTAATAGAATTGTGTGAGAATGAAGTAAGACTGTGTATGTTAAAGGCTTGCCTAGCAACACGCTGGATGCATTTAAAACTCTCTATAAATGGTAATATCTGCCTGAGCCTTGGGCCACCCAGCCAAGTCAGTTTACCACTTAAAAATATATTTTATTCTACAAGAGGCCTCGCTAAATCAAGGCGTGAGCAACATGGACTAGGCCTGCAGTTGTAGATGTTCTCATGCTAGGGAAATCTTCAATTTAGGGTCTAGGGATGTTCCAGGCAATGTTCAATGTTCTAGGGAAGTCTTCAATGCTAGTGCCTAGGGCCCAGAAATAATGAACTCAGTATATGAAACATCTTGGAAACAGTCACATTTGTTCACATAAGTTTGTTAGTAATCTGTATCTGTACTTGTTTAGAAACTGCTCAGTATTCTCTAATACTACACTACCCAAGAAGGTAGCCACATACTACATGTGACTATTTAAAAGTAAAGAAAATTAAAATCCAATTTCTCTTTTTTTTTTTTGGCTGTTTGGCTTGCGGGATCTTAGTTCCCTCACCAGGTGTCAAACCCGGGCCCCCAGCAGTGAAAGCCTGGAATCCTCATCACTGGATTGCCAGGGAATTCCCCACACTAGCCACATTTCAAGGCCTGGGCTACCATACTGGTCAATGCATGATGAAACATTTCCATCATCACATAAAGTTCTAGTGGACCATGCTGCAGTTTCTTATTCCCCACACACCTTGGGCTACAACTCCTTCCTGTTAACCGCTGTCTTATTTGGCATTACATTATCCCTTCTCTCTTCCTACTGTGTTTTATAGTTCTAATTTAAGTGGTGGGGGCAGAGTCCCAATGTAGCTCACAACAGGGCTTTAATTCTTCAACACTGTCTAAACAGGTCCTGCTTTTCTTAACTGGGGTTCTAAAATTTTTTTGATAAACTTGAAAGTTACTAATGAAACCACCTACTGTTTTTTGGGGTTTTTTTTTGTTTTTTTTTTTCCGGTACGCAGGCCTCTCACTGTTGTGGGCTCTCCCGTTGCGGAGCACAGGCTCCGGACATGCAGGCCCAGCCGCTCCGCGGCACGTGGGATCCTCCCAGACCAGGGCACGAACCTGTGTCCCCTGCATCGGCAGGCGGACTCTCAACCACTGCGCCACCAGGGAAGCCCCCACCTACTGTTTTGAGGCTTTCTCCTTGATTTCCTTTAATTCTAATGATTAATTTGATTAGAAAAATCAGAATAACATGAAACTTCCAAAACCCCTAATTTAGTCTCTTCTCTGAACATTTGGAATTCTGTCATCCCAGAATATATATATACCCAGCCTTTTCTCTACACAGCTCAACTGCCAAGTTTTTACTTTATCCCTAAGGTCTTTCTAAACACGGAAAGTTCTCCAACAGTGTCCCTTATTAGTCAAATAAACACCATGGTATAAATACCTGTTCTCTGTGAGGTAGAGCATTGATAAAGCAAGTGAGGTACTTTAAGTTACTTAGTAGCCCTACTCCACATATTATATATAACATTTACTCATCACTAATTTCTATGTCACATCTGTTCACTATTGTTAAGTGGTTTCTGCAAGTAATCAGGGTACTGCTACTTTTTCTTTGATCCCTCTAAATTCAACTGAAATGCATTTTCTTGGTCAAGCTGATCTGAACTAGGGTCCCAAAATTCAAACCCCACTTGACATTGGTGCAGCTGCATTCTCCCATTTTCCTCATATTAAATAAAAAGGTCAACTGTCACTGAACTTTATCTGGCTAAGTCCTTCACTCTCCCAGGCCACCAGTCAATAATGATGCTTCCTGGTTCTCTCCTGAAAGTAAAATTAGCCCATAAATGGTCAGTCAATGCAGTCACAGGCCAGCCATGTGTTCTCAGAACAAAGTACATTTTTAAACTGATCTCTTCATATACAGCTATTTCCTATTCCCCAACTATTTCCGTAACACATCCCATCATTTCATCTGGGTTAACTAAAAAATACTAGTACTTGAAGTATAGATTGTGTCCTGTTTCTTTACTTTCTGTATCATACCCCTGGGGCTTTGCTATCCCTTATTCTTTTGAACATACTGCTAAGGTGTCCAGAAGATTCCTTTATGGATATTTTATGTTTACTGTATGACTCAAATGATGGTTATTTTTCTTCTACTCTTTCCATTACATTCTCAATCCTCATCTGACTTCAGTTTATTCCCTTCCAATTTACCATAATCTTGTTGTTCCTGTTTGCATTATTTCCCTTTTCTTTCACATCCAGTTCCCTCTATAAAACAGGGGCTTTAAAACATGCATTGACTGGTACTAGTCTGTCTATAATCCTTGCTGGTTTCAGATGCTGGAGTAACATCTGAACTGAAATCTAATGGGAACCCCCTTCCAAGCATTCCAAATTTGTCATCCACCCCAACTTGACATCAAGTTTGCTCCTTTCACTGGTTAGATAACGGCAAATTACAAAGTACCCTAAGCCAGTGAGCTCCAAAGAACAGTTTACCAATTAAAAATTACATACCATTAGAAATGTTTCAAAGGGATTTCTTTTCAATCATCCAACCTCCTCTCTTGCATTCCAACCTTTGTTGGAAACTGCATTCTTAAAATCTTCCAGGCTATTTTCTTAGATTTCATGGCATACTGAGAAAACCCATTATTCTAAATTTTATATCCAAACAAACGCATCACCATATTTTACTTTGTTTTGAGCTTTCCACAATTTTTTCAATACTTGGTTTCATATGCAATTAAAAATAGACGCTTGCATGCCTGGGGTAATTGGTCCAGTACTTCTAAATACTGATGGCTAACATAATCTCAAACAGGTTTTCTTAGCATCTTAGTCTTAGAACTTTGACTCTTCTTCTAAGCATCTAGTTTATTTTCTTGTCATCACTTATGTGCTAAAAGTGAGTTTGTATAACATGAGAACACATAAGATTAGAAAACAAGGTGGTTAAAAGTATTTTTGACCAAATCATCACACAAAAGCTATGTATATACTGTGAATCTGAGATCCAGGGCAGTCCACAGATCAGCCTCTCTCTTCTACTTTGTCACCTATTATATAAAATGATTTATGAAATCTTTATAAATAGGATATGACTTCTGCCCATACTAGGTTGTATATAAACGCCTTTGAAACAGCAGCAACTTTCTGGGGAATCCAAGGTTTGTGTGAGTGATAACAGCCCAAAACTAACTGTTTTTGTCCTGCTCTGCAGGAAAAACTGAAGTATAAAACAAATAAACTGGACCTTTCAGGACAAGGCAAGCATCACAAAACTGAAAGCTGTTTAATAAATCCAGCCTTAGAAGTTTGGGTGCTAACTAGTACCATGCCTATAATTAGTTTATATGGATTGAATTAATTGAAAGTGAAATAAATGTGTAACTCTGTGTCCTCAGTTACCTAGGAAGGCACAGGCTACAAAAGACCAGGAAATAAAAAGCTCTCCTATTTTCAGTAACACTGAGGCACAGACTCAGAATCCATTTGGTAACTGGGGCTATAAACAGCAATTAAAAGAACAAAATGGAATAAAATACAGGTTTTATTCTCCAGTTGTTTCACTTTTCCTAGAATCTTGACATGTTTGAGCCTCTTTCTATTTAAGGTTGAAACAGTTCAGCACATGACAAAAAAAAAAAAACTCAAAAAAGGTGCCAAATGGACCACAAAGCATTGAAGAAAAGGCTTAATGCAGTTCCCGAACTTTTTCATTAGGATCTAAAAGCCATTTTCGCAAAAGAAATCTCCACTTCACATCAAAGTTACTTGTCTCCTTAATTCAACACCCACCCCAATGAAACATAATTTGAGTAGTGTATGTTGGTATGCATAATAATTATGACTCAAAGAAAAATGTATCTAGTATATTCTAGGGGTTTTGTGGAGGCCGCTGTGAAACAAAGAATTTGAAGTAAACAATTATAAAATACAAAAATAAAAAACCAGGGTGTTTATTTTTTCTCCAAATTCCTGGTTTAATAAGGACTTGTTTATTTTGAGAAAAAAAGGTCCCAAACATCAGGCTATTCACAAAAATAACCCACAGTATCAACTTTAGAAAACAAATCTTAAGACTATTACACTAGTTATTTTTCTAGAGGATCCATTTGACATGCCAACTCTCATTCACAAAAATACATTATTACATTTGTGTTGAACAGCCCCACACAGCGCTCTTATGTGGGGTATAACACGCATACCTCTAATTCAAAGCTGTTCTCAGGTGCTACTCAACTAATGAGACTGCCTTTGTAGTTAGGGAAGCAACTACTGAACTTATGTATGAATGGAAAGAACTGTACTCCCTGCATAACAAGAGATTATTTTGGAGACAGTTGATAAAAACCATACATACTTTTTATTGTTAAGTCATAAAGAGGTATCAAAATTAAAAGCAAAAATTACAGGGTAAGACTTAACATAACTACTAGGAGCATCAAAGGAAGTGAAAACGGGACTAGGCGCAGGGCAATGTGAATTAATGAACATGGGAAGGACAAGGATGGGGACAACAGTGAGCATGTGCTGAAGATACTAGGGGAGAGGATCTGGTGAAAATTTTGATCTTAGACAAGCGCCTAGGTAAAGAAATAATGGGACAAGATTTCTAAACCCCACTATGTGCTTAAGAGTCATCCTCGCCATTGGCGCTGTCTCTGTCATCCTCTCCTTCCTCAGCCTCTTTTTCATCATCCTTGATCAACTCCAGCTGTGAGAAACAGACACAAATAGGATGGAGTTAGAGGCACTCCATGTGTCCCTGATCCCCCCTCCACCACCTCTTTCTTTCCTTTCCCGTGGTTTTCACCTGGTCATCCCCCCGATCTTCATTATCATCATCATCCAGTAGGTCCCCCTCCTCAGCAGAGTCCTCTGCACCCCCCTCAGACTCCATCTTCACATTAGTCTCATCTTTCTTCAGGGAGCTGCTGCTCTGCTCCTCTTCTGACTTATCATTCTTCATCTCTACTGCGGATGAGAAGGACAAGTCTGTCTAGGGGCAAGTAATGTCCACAGGATGTAGACAATCCCCACTGATGATCATAGAACTGCAGCACAAGTCTATATCCTCCCACACAAATGTCCTTCCCAATTCAAATTCCACAAGTTTCCAATTAAACTGCTTTATATCCCACTATTCCAACATACACTTTCAACTATCTGAGATAGCTACCTCTACTTTACACCCAACAAGCAAAAGGACCAAAAGGACCATTTACCTCCTTGTTTGCTCTGTTCCTTTTCGATTTTTTCCAGGTTTTCCAGTAGAGAATCCACTTTTTGTTTTATCTGAGTCAACTCCTTCTTAATGGCCTGAAGGTCATCTCCTTTCACTTTAATACAAACAAAACCCTAGATTAGAATCAAATGTACCAGAAGCTACCAGTTAGCTATACACACACTCCCCCACTAGACTATACAACAGTAGTCAACATGAGATCCTTGGAGAGAAATGGAGCCTGTACCAGACTGTCCTAGTTATGGGGTCCACCGATCTTTTAGTTGGTAGCTGAAAACTGAATCTAATGTGCCTAGTTCCTTAGCAACAGCATTCTAACTTTTGTAGGTCTGCTAAAGACCTCAATTCTATTTTAAAAGCAGTTTACCAACATATTTTACACAATGAATGGGCGCCCCTCAACTCCCTAAAATCTAATGGCTTTTTTCAAATTACCAAGGTCTTAAGGATAGAAGGCTTCCTAGAGTTGGCCCCTTAGTCACTATTTTCTCATCTTCTATTATTTTGATTATGCAAAATTATTTGTACAAAACCTGAACATTAACTGCACTAATTTCCATATTTCAACATACAAGAAATATCAGAATCACAAAGATGCAATGATAATACATACACTTTCCAGACTTAGAAGATCCCCGCTGTCCACTCTTAGAATTGAAGCCACTTTTGCCCCTTCGTGAGGTGTTTCCTGATACACGCTGGCGTTTTGAGGGCACTACAGCCCGAGCAATAGGAGGAGGAGGAGGAACCCGTGCTGGGTAACTGTACATCCTATTGGATAAAAGGAAAACAGAATTCCTTCACAACTAAAAATAAGTCAGGAAGATTCCAACAATGGTGTCCTTGTAAAACGATAAATCATTGTCCATTGTTCCGCAATTATTTCTTTTTGCTAAGCTAAGTTAATTTCATTCAAAAGGCCAGTTTACTCTTTGATATTTTTAATACTGCAGCTACTTTTCTTCAAGGAAATACTACATATATACACACATATCCAATGATACATGGTTGGTTGCCTTAAGCACTGGACATAAAAGGTTTCTGTGTACAATGGCAGTATTAACAGAACATTACTTTTTACAATGAATGGCCTTTACCTTGATCATATTCTTTTCATATATACACTACAATAAGCAATCCATATAAGCCAAATAAAGTACCTACAAAAGACTGCAATTAACCAAGTCTGCAAACAGAGCTATTGGTCGCTAAATCCCTGATCTTTTCAGCCACAGAAGCATACAAGTAATTATCACTAGTTTGTAGTATTAAATTAAACCATATAAAATTGCCAATATTAACCATTTTTGGCCTATAGAAACCGGTATTTTATGTGTTGTTAGCTGGGTGTACATAGCATTATCAATTCTAACAACATTTAGTGTACTCTCCACTCAAAGCTCCAACAGGACAGAGAATACCGTCTATGATATTCACTATTCATTACTGCCTAAATCCACTACCTAGCACAGTTAGCTTTCAAAAATCACTGATTGCTCAATTGCTGCTTCCACTGGATAAGTATCCCAGTGATTGCTAAAGATATACCAAAGTGATGGCCTGGTATTGATGCTTCCATTTGTAAAGAGAAAAATCAAAATACAACAAAAAAAACTTCCCACATGGACATCAGTTCTAGACAGTCTCTTTATTCCATGCTGTTACTTTTACAAAAGCCTGTGGCAGCATATGAAGCTAAGACATACCTGTAGGAAAAAAACTTGTAATTCTAGTTCTGAACCTTTTTGGCTATTAACTTAACAACCCACCAACTGTTGCTCTGCCTAACCGCAAAGCTTTGAAATTTTATAATTCAAAGAGATACCTAGTAACAGTTAACTTTTTTTTTAGGTAGGTAGGTACGTACGTTTATCTATCTATCTAACTATCTATCTATCTATCTATCTATCTATCTATCTATCTATCTATCTATCTATCTATCTATCTATCTATCTATCTATGGCTGTGTTGGGTCTTCGTTTCTGTGCGTGGGCTTTCCCTAGTTGCGGCGAGCGGGGGCCACTCTTCATCGCGGTGCACGGGCCTCTCACTGTCGCGGCCTCTTGTTGCGGAGCACAAGCTCCAGATGCACAGGCTCAGTAGTTGTGGCACACGGGCCTAGTTGCTCCACGGCATGTGGGATCTTCCCAGACCAGGGCTCGAACTCGTGTCCCCTGCATTGGTAGGCAGATTCTCAACCACTGCACCACCAGGGAAGCCCAGGATGTTTTTTGATGTGGACAGCTTTTAAAGTCTTTATTGAATTTGTTACAATATTGCTTCTGTTTTTTTTTTTTTTTTTTTTTTTTTTTCCTTGCATTATGCGGGCCTCTCACTGTTGTGGCCTCTCCCATTTGCGGAGCACAGGCTCCGGACGCGCAGGCTCAGTGGCCATGGCTCACGGGCCCAGCCGCTCCGCGGCATGTGGGATCTTCCCGAAACGGGGCACGAACCCGCGTCTCCTGCATCGGCAGGCGGACTCTCAAGCACTGCGCCACCAGGGAAGCCCTGCTTCTGTTTTATGTTTTGGTTTTTTGGCCGCCAGGCAAGTCCCCAACAGTAACTTTTTATTATCACTACCTCCTTTCATTTTTATGTAAAGCTTTTCATCTTCTGGCCCTAAATTTTCCAAAGTATAATGATCCAGAAACTATAAAATATCAGTGTTCAGAAACTACTTTCCTTTGTGTAAGGTGATGCTACTTTGTACAATTTCTGGGGGTAAAAAGTGAGTTATCCACATCTTTAGGTATGAAACATCTCATGCCTCAGCCCTGTTGAATTCAGAGATCTAACCTACCTTCCAATCTACTCATTCTCACTGGCATCAGTCTCCAAACCAATGAGCTAGCCATTCCACATTCCCTACA